TTTTGTAAAGACAAATATAATATAATCTTATACCTATCGTTGTCCAATCAACATGAGATTTTACATAGCTAACATTTTTTTTTATTAATCTTACAAAATTTGTGGTACGAATTATTTTGGGAGGTCTGGAGTAAGACATTAAAAAAATGGTCTTTAAAAAACAATTCAATATCATGGTAATTAAGACATTAAAGTATTATATTATTTCTCAAAACTATTAGAATAACCCATACATATGGCTTCAAGTAGGGTGGTCATCGACCCGAGTTGCTCCATCCAATCCATCCATCCCAACTCAATCCGCTATTTTTAGGATTTGAAAAACTTATTTTGCTCATAGAGCAAGTTGAGATTTTGTGCCCATTTAATATTCCGATTGAGTTTGGATTTAATATTCTAATTGAGTTTGGGTTAAAAAATTCTAACCCACCTTGACTTGAACAAGCAAAAAGATACTTTATTGATAATAACAAGAAAATCACATCAATAAAGTGGGAGAATGCAAAAAGTATCGCAACTAGCTTTATACTCCCACCTAAGATGGCACCATAGAACTAGCACATCATCTGCTAGCATCCCTCAAGGTTGGTGAGTAACCAACCAAGAAGACAACATACGAGCACAAGAAAATTGCACAACGCCCATAGCTCACACCCAAATAAACTCAATCTAAGCAGCCACCACCATCCTATGACCAAGGCAGGCTCTTACCTGCCTAAAATTAAACACAAAGTCATTGATTGTGAAGTTAAACTCTTTGAGTTTCAGATTAACCCGCATAGCAACTCTGGTTTTAATTAACTCACAGACCTCAACCAAAATAGGAGTAGAATTCCTGAACAGACAGTCATTCCGTAGCTTCCACAAGGACCAAAGTACAGCTAAAGGGGAAGCACTCCAAATCAGTTTCACGTTCTTCGTAATCCAATCCCCAGCCCACCAATGCAGCATTTCTTCAACTGACCCTGGCAAAGCACCTTGAACATTCCACCTGCTAAGTATATTCATCCAGACTTGCCACTAGAAAAGGCAGGATGTCAGCACAAGATTCATGGATCCGCCCATTTGTAAAATATTAATTATAATTTATTATTATTTTAGTTATAAAATAAAGCAGAAAAAAATATGAAAAGACAAAAAAAAAAAAAAATGTACATTTCTACCTTTTTCTAGGGTATAAATTAAAACATTTATTAAAAATCGTATTTATTTTACCATTGAATTTTGTTGACGTACCAATTCAAATAATAAATAAAAGGATCTAAATAATGAAATATTCATTCAAGTCAAAAAAATTTAAAAAAAAAATTAAATAATTAAGCTCATATTTATCGGGTTAAGTGGACGAGTTTGAAATTTTAAATTTTTTAGGACTGAATTTAGGATGGTTAAATTAGGCTCAATATTGAGCCGGACCGAACTTGAAATAACACATATCCTCTTAATATATAGTATAAGACTTGCCCGAACTAGGCCCGAAGTTTATCCACTTCTACCTTCAACAGCTCGTAATATCTTTTTTCTCGTAGAAATATTCATTCAAGTCAAAAAAATTTAAAAAAAAAATTAAATAATTAAGCTCATATTTATCGGGTTAAGTGGACGAGTTTGAAATTTTAAATTTTTTAGGACTGAATTTAGGATGGTTAAATTAGGCTCAATATTGAGCCAGACCGAACTTGAAATAACACATATCCTCTTAATATATAGTACAAGACTTGCCCGAACTAGGCCCGAAGTTTATCCACTTCTACCTTCAACAGCTCGTAATTTCTTTTTTCTCGTAACTCCTTACTTTTTTATTTTTTTAAATATTTTGGTTGGTAATTTTTAATTGCACATTGTAAAGCGTAGGCTAGCTAGGGTTTTTGGATTGGCATTGCAAGGGCAACAACATGTGCTATAATATGAAGAATAAAATGGGATGGTGATGAGAGAAGTGTCTATTTATTGCCATGGACCTCTCTATGAACACTCAAAAGAGTACACCCGCCCACAAATGGGAACACGTTGGCCTTTAATGGTTTCATGATAATTGTCACAAAATTATATACTACTAATAAAAGATTTAAGTTGTTAAAAGAGATTGATAATTTTATTATTTATATTATATTTTAAACATATTTTCTCACACATAGTTGTGTGGATGAATTCTCTTTCATAAATAGTATTACCTACTCTAACATTTTATTAAATTGTTAATTACTAATTCATCTAAAAGTTTAAATTGTTAAAAAATAAAGAGAGTAATATAATATAAACTTACTATAAGTATCAAACAAAAACTTATCAACAACATAAAAATGAAATTCACGCTAAAATAATAACATACTCAACAGATTCCAATTTGTTTGAGTCTTGTTTATTTTTATTTTTCATGCATGATTATATATAGTGTTTGTTTTGTTTAAAATGCAATTTTTTTTATAATAAATTTGACTTAAATTAGTATTTAATAGGGGTGTTTGGTGGGGGTTATGGAAGTAACTTATAACTTATTTTAATATGAGAGTTTGTTTTAAAATGTTTAGTGCAACTTTTGCTTATAGCTTAATAGGTAGAAATGGCTTAAATAAACTAAAAAAAAAAGTTAATTTTTTAGAAGCTGGGTGAGTTGTGTTTTTAGCTTTTGCTTTTAACTTATTAATCAGAAATAGCTTAAATAAGCTGAAAAACTTGATTTTTCATAAGCTAGTGAGGGTTGTTTTTAGTTTCTGATTCCTGATTATCAACTTTTAACTTAAAATAATCTCCACCAAATACCCCCAAGTGCTTGGGCCTTGTTTGGGAATAGGGTTGGGCTAAAATAGTCTATTAAATATAAAATAAACTAAAATAGTTAATAAGATAAAATGTTACATGTAATCCATAATCATTTCATTTTTTATCTCATAACTATCAAATCAGCTACAAAAAGCAAACCAACTTCCAAAACACAACTATTGTAGTTAAGCTAAAATAGTCAAAAAATTAAGGGCAAATTATGCAAATAGTCTCTATAGTTTACACGTGTCATTTTGGTCCCTCTAATTTCTATTTGCTCAATTTTGATCTTAAATTTTGAATTATGTATCATTTTGGTCCAATTGAAAACGGAAGCTAAGAAATTGGACGGAAAATTTGCACGTGAATGATATGTTATTGGTTTCCAAGGGCACAATACACATTTTACTTTCCCTTTCGCTTTCAGCTTCTTCTTACGTTTCTTTCTCTCTCTGCCTCTCTTTTTCTCTCTCTCTCTCTCAAAACCCTAGCAGCGCCATTGCCTTGAAGAAGTCGAGATCGACCACCGAAGCTTTCTTCCATGCCGACAATAGCGGGCAAAGAAACCTCGCAAGGTCCACCACCGCTACCTCAGCCTCAGCCATTCCTCTTCCTTCTTTTCTCACACCTTTTTCGATTGTCTCTCTCTATTCTCTGTCACTAGCACTGGCTACCGTTGACACTTCCGAAGCCATCTCACCCTTCGCTCATCGACAGTTTCACCTTCGAAAGAGCCACTGACCACCGTCGTCCGCCGTTCCACTGCCTTTTATCTGTTTGAGTGAATATGTGTTATGTTTTGGTTCATCTGTTGTCATAGCCGGTGAAAGTGTATTGCCATGTTCGGTTCTGTCAGCGTAATGGTGGTTGCTTGCAGATGATGTCAAGTCTAAATGTCATGGTGGAAGTGTACAGCAATGTAAGTATATTGAAACTTGGGTTTAGCTATAGGATTTGCCTGAATTGCCGTTCATGGTGGGGTTACGCCGGCCTTGTGGTTGTGTTTGAGTATGGAGTGCACCATTTGCTTCTATGCTGAGAGTGGCGTTCATCCGACTTTGAGTGGAATTGCAGATTGAACTGGTTCGTGTAGCTAGAACTGATTTACAGTGTGGGTGGGTTTGGCTTTGCTGGTGGCTAACTGATGCACGTTTGCCTTTTTCGGCGTAACCTTGCCTCTTCTCTGATACTGGTTTGGTTCTACTCCGACTCTGGCTATGTTTTGGTTTAGATTTATGGTTGCCTTGCAGGTTTTTCCGACATTGTGAGGTTACATTTTGCGCCGATGGTTGACTCCATCAATGTTACTCTCCTCACTCTCTCTCTCTCTCTCTCTCTCTCTCTCTCTCTCTCTCTTTTGTGTACAGAGATATATATATACACATATATATCATTGAGTTAAATGGGAGTGAGTTAACTCACTTTGAGTTAGATGGATTAATCATTGAGTTAACTGAGAGTGAGAGCAAATTGACTTTTTTGCCCTTAAAAGCTCTGCACATGTTGTCCACGTGCAAATTTTCCGTCCAATTTCTTAACTTCCATTTTCAATTGGACCAAAATGATACAGAATTCAAAATTCAAGGTCAAAAACGAGCAAATTGAAATCAGAGGGACCAAAATGACAAAACGTGTAAACTACAAGGATTATTTGCATAATTTGTCCAAAAATTAAATAACCAACATCCCAAATAAGGCAGACGTATTAGTGGAGCAGTTTGTAGCAAATCTATACTAAGTGCACTGTGCTGTGCTAAAATAGCACAAAAAATATTGCACAGTTAGAGATATTCTTATGGACTGTTTGTTGCAACATACTACAAGCTAAAAGCTGAAAATAAGAAATATCACTCCTCTAGCTTTTGATAATCTTTTTTTTTTTCTTCTTCCTTTATAAGTTGTAAAACAAAAGTTACACCTAATACTTAACATATATTTTAAAAAATTTTAAAAAAAATCGGGTAAATTACATTTTCAACCCTTTAGTTTGACCTTAATTTTACATTAGCCCTAATGTTTTCAATTTGATAAACAATTTAGTCCCTATACTTTATTTTTTATTTTTTTTATTAGCAAAAAGTGATTCATTGATGTAAAAAAAAAGTACAAAATGTACAAAAAATTTACATCAAGAAGGCATAAAATGCCTACATTGAAACATGAAATAAAACCAGTCAAATGCAAAGTCAATGACCAAAAAAAGAAAATAAAAATAGTAACACACTAGATGGAGAACCAAATATTCCTTCCCTGAACACACTAGTTCTTACACTTCATATATAGCTTCAGTTTAGTCACTCCATTCAAATTAACAATTTTGTGACAAGTGTCAATCATTTTGAAGTGCACACATATAAATAATTAATGATAATTTGAATGGAAGAACAAAATTGACACTAAACTTAAAATGTAAATATTAAAGTGAAATTTGAATCAAATCATACGAGTAAAAAGTTTAATATACCCCCCAAAAAATCTATAAGCAATCTGAATAAACTGCAATAAACACACATGAATATAAATCAGATCCCAAGGTGAATATTGTTGCAAGACAGAGAGAGAGGCTCTCATAGGATTGTTGCATGCTATAGAAAGGACAATTCTTAATACTGAATTCAGGAGTTGTTGATGATTTACCTCCTAGGTCTGACCATTTGAAGTTAAATTTTACAATTCATTATAAAACAGTGATCATCAAAGACATTTTTGTTTTTGCTTTTGGTTTATGTGGGTTAGTTAGTCCCTACTACACCAACAAAATATAAACAAAGTGGGACAAATCTTTACTGTCTTCATTTGTGAATATTGGCTTGTGGGATGTGTCCAATACCCTTCTCCAATAATCCCAAGGTACCTTCTTTTGTCTCTAGTCACTCTGTGGGATCAGTCACGGCTTTCTCATTCTCATGGCTAACAGTAAACAGAAAAGAGAAGATGCCTATTAGCTTCCTAAAAAAGTCCATTTCCAAACAAATTGCTAGGTTAAAAATACACACTCTCTCCATCGCATTTTATGTGTCCATCAAAATGTTATAATCTAGTGGTTACTTTTGTGAATTAGTAATTTCATATAATAAAATTAGTACTCAGAATTTTATTTATAAAAATAGTCGATGGTTTAGAGTCATTTTGAGTATGAATCCCACTATATATAATTGACTTTGGATTACATTATTATTATTATTATTGTTATTTGAAATTTTTTGAGCACCTAGAATTAATATTTATAAATATTCCCGTAGATGGAATGGGGAAAACAAAATACCAAAACACATGTAATTTTAGTAGTCACACTCTTTTTAGTATGCATTTACTTCTAAGCGCGGTAAAATTCAAAAAGACAATCTCTCTCCATACCTACACAGTCCACCATCGACCAACCCCTTACCCACTACAAAATCTATCCACCTTCACGTTGGCCTTTCTACTACCTCCTACTACTACTTGCCAACCCGCTACAAACGTGCTTTTTCAAGGCTCTATTTGATAAAGTTTATGTTTGCATTTTTTTAGTTTATATTTATAAAAGCTTTAAAAGCTAGAAACAAAAAATTGTTTCTTGTCTATTTTTGCTTTCAAAAAAATATAAACAATTTACAAAATTTAAGAAATTTTATACAAATATTTATTTGTACTTAAGATTTGATCCCTTCCTCCCTCCCATACCCTCTCTGGTTACCATCCATCGCTCATCACCACCTCTGTTAAACCCCTTCTGACCACTACCGCTAGCTACTACCTACGACCACCACATCAAACTGCTGACAACTCCCCGACCACCTTCAATCGTCAGCCACCATCCTTGTCTACTAGCAACCATCGCCAAGAATGGCCTCCCTTTGACGACCCCTTTTGGTAACCTCTTGTTTCTAAAAACAAATTTTGGAAAACATTTTATCTATACCAAATATAATTTTTATGTTCATTTTCATAAAAAATAAAATATAACTTATGTAATGTTTTCTAACTTAATGTTTGTGCACATGAAATGAAGGGATTTAGATCATTTACATTCATGGATGAAATGGAAATGATTATTTTATAATCAATGCTATGAAAGATGTACATCGCAAAATCTTTATTTAAAAGTTAAAATTGGTGAGGAAAATTTTTGAAATTTACAATGACATGTATGTTATAAATATTCAATTTTGAATTTTGATAATGTATGCAACTTTATAAAATGAAATGGAGATCTCGTTTCCATTCATAAAATGAAGACGGTCAAAATTCCCGAGAGAAAATTGAACACGTGACCATTGGTTGTGAAGCCGTAATCACCTCTGTGATGTATTGAACTCTTCCAAACCTAAGAAGTTGAGATTGAAATCATAAACCATATAGACCCATTTGACCTAAAACATAATTATTAGAAGTTGGAGAACAATAAAAGTCACTGCAAGCATTTAAATAACCTCACTAAAACCTAAACCCTAACAAAGAAACAAATAACATTCACCAACATCAGTCATAAGATAACAATATTAGACTAGAGAAAAACTTAACAAATCAGCATTAGCTATCTATATAAGTTATGTTCAGTTCATAGATTACTTGAAATGGTTGGTGTAGTCTTTGTTTCCCTCTGTGATTGAGTTCCACTCCCAGAGTCTCTCCGGGAAGCTGGCCTGAAGTGAGCTTGGCGGCATGTTGAGAGGCGGCAGTGACTGTAATTGTGGTGGCAAGGGAGGGGACAACTGAGCCGGATGGTACTGGTAGTGATGATTTTGATACTGTTGACTGATTGAAGCTTGTTGGAAGTTAACTAGCCTATGGAGATCATCAACAGCATACTGAGGCACCAAAGAAGAGCCTGCATAGACTGTGGTGCAATTGGGGACTAAAGAGAGAGCTTGTTTAGACTGTTGTTGTAGCAAAAAGCCATCATCTTCAATTGAAGCTTGCGGTGGTGCAAGTGAGGAGGTCATTGAGGCTAATGCTATGTATGAGTTATGTTTGGAAAGCCCGAGCGCTGTCCCAATGTCTGCGCTACTACTTGTGCTTGTTTCGCTCAATTTTTCAGTGTCATCTACCTGAGATTGGCCCCCAAAAGCTTGGAAGCTATCTATGGAAGCATAATTGGGTGTGCCATGTTGCTTTTTGTCAAACTGTGTGGTCCTTGATGAGGATGCCCTTGTCGGGAGTGAACGAGGGAGCGATGGATGGTCTTCTACACCGGGTCTTTTGTAGACACGACAAAGTGAAATTTCTGCCTGAAACAAAGTGAGAGCAAATAGAGATGTCATGATTTTGTTCAGTAAATTAATTTCACATAAAATATGGGACTGAAAGACTTCGGATTTTGCCCAGAATTTATCATTGTCTCATTGGTGTTGCAGTTATGAGAAGAGTCAGTAGTATTTAAAGCAAAGGATCTTGATGACAAGTTCACTGAATTCTAAGTTCTTTGAATGTCACTCTCAGTTTCTCTCATAAAGATGAAAGAAACCAATAAAAGAAACAAAACTATGTCTTGTCAGCGGTGTTTCTTGACATTTCTTCTTCTTCTTCTTCTTCTTCTTCTTCTTCTTGTTCTTGTTCTTCTTCTTCTTCTAATTTTTTTATTTATTTATTTTTATCTCGGGTTTGCATCTCAGATCTGTTCTTTGTATGATGGTGTTCAACAGATCTGTGTCTTAAATTAAAAGAGACTCAAAAAAGTCAAAACTATGAAACCATAGTAGGAGGAGAAGGGATTTTCTGTAAAAGTTTTAAACAATCTTGAACCTCTTATGAACTAGGTCTAAAGTAAAGCCATGGGGCTTAAACCAATCCTACAATTTTCCTTCATGGGTAGGCTATCTAAAGTTCAATACTATCTATATACAGCTTAATCAAACCCTCATAGTGACTTCAAGAAGTGGTCTAGAGTCCTTTCCTTTTCATTGATGCCTTTCTTGTGTTGTTTTTGTTTGTTCAAAAGCTCAATGAAGTCACTATGAAGGTTTGATTAAGCTGTATATAGGTAGTATATATATGAACTTTAGATTGCCTACACATGAAGGAAAATTGGAGGATTGGTTTAAGTCCCATGATTTTATTTTAGACCTAGTTCATAATAGGTCCAAGATCTATCTACCTTTTGTAACCTTTCTGTTTCATGGTGTGGCAACCGGTATTCGTTCATGATCCAACTAGTCCGGATGCCTTTGGGAGCCTTCCCGGAGTAGAAAACAAGGGTTTTCTTCAGCCCAATTGACCGGTTTTCAGTTCTGATCATTCTGTCAGCTCCCGTAGCCTTCCAATACCCAGAAGTTGTTACACGGTTAGGACGATCTCCATTTCGATACTTGCGGTCTCTAGGCACATAGAAGAACCATTCCTTCTCTCCGATCGCTGCCATGGCTGAAATGAACAAAACAAGTAACATAAATTGAGATCAAAAGCTGAAACAACTATAATTGAGAAAAATCAGTACCATTTGACATAAGAGTAGTCATATACAAATAAAAATACAAAACGATTTAGCAAGTCTTGATTCTTTTAGTACAATTTTGTATGAAAATTCTATAACTATACTCTTAGACATTTAGGGTTAATAGGTCCTTAAATAGTATTGATAGACAATAGAGTTAAAAGGGAAGAGAACAAAAGATACAAAAAAACAAATCACAGAAGAAACACAGGTACTCTAAAGAATACCAGGAAGTTCCCAAGGGTCGTAGCGATAGAGATCAAGGAAGGTGATGAGTTCGACGTTGAAACGCTTGCCCTCAACCTTACGGCGAAGGTAGAACTCGATGAGTTCTTCCTCGGTAGGGTGGAAGCGAAAACCAGGCATGACGAGGTCGTGGTCATGCTCATCATGATCATCTTTGCTGTTGTTGTCTTGGCTCATGGTGGCTGCAATTGCCATAAAACTACTACTACTATTGAGTTGTAATCAAGCTCATCAACTCCTCTTTAGCCTCACCCTCCCTCTTTATACCCTTGTTATTGGTACCTTTTTTAGGGTAGTGGTGCAACTTGTGGTTGAGTTAAAATGTCGTACTATCAAAAAGTTAAGTCTTATAGTCATTATAGTCTTTTTAGTCTCCCTCCCTCCCCTCTCTCTCTCTGTGTAAAATCTCCCCCTCTCTCTCTCTCTGTAAAATGAGGAGGAAAAAGAAAAAGGAGAGAGAGAGAGATGTACATAGCATTGAGGGCCCACATGGGAAGAGAGGTAAGCGTAGTTAAGGTGATTAAGATGAGAAAAGGACATCTCAAATAGAGGACAGGGTGGCCACAGCCCCTTAGCGGTGGGTTTGGAGCTTTCTTAATGCTACCATTAACTCTTTCATTTTTTTATTTTTATTAGATGGTGTTGAATTTCTCTTGCCCTCTCAAACAGAAAATTTTAGTCAAAAAAAGATTTAAAAAAATAACTATGACACTTTGTTTGTTTGGATAAAAAATATTTTTTTTTAAATTTTGATACAATAGAAAATAAAAGTCAACAAAAAAATATTTTTTATGGTTAACAAAAACAAGTCTATTTGGATAAAAAATATATATATACTTCAATTTTAAAAGATAAAAAACGTTTTCCGAACTAAACTCTTACTAATGATACCATACTACTATCTTCACTCTCACCTACATCACCACACCACCATCACCTATTGCCATCAATGCTGCCATCACCCTACCACTATCTCCACCTTTGTCTCACTACTACTACTACCAAACATAGAAAATGTTGTTTCTGGGAAATACTTTTTGAAAAAAATGTTCTGTTGGAAAATATATTTTACCTAAACAAAAGTAGCGTATAATGTAAATTTATTTTCTTTACTTTTATACACATCTTTTATAAAAATTCAAAAAGTCACTAAATAATTTAATTCTTAAATGAGCTTTAAAATGTGTTAAAAGTTATTACAACAAGTTTTACAAATATAATAATATTAAATTTTTACATTTAAATGAGCTTTAAAATGTCTAAGGTTTCTTTCAAATTTCAAAAAAATATAATAAGTTTTACAAATTTAACATAATTATATTAAATTATTTTAAAATTTATCATATAACACTTAAACTTATTTTCATTGGAAATTCGTTAGCCTTATGGATTAAATAAATGAAGTCATATGCTAATACATAAAATAAAATAAATAAATAAAAAATGAAGTCATTTCTTTTAGGAGTAGTGATACTCTTGATAAGGAAGAGGTCCAAGAGGTTCATTGGGTGTAATGTGCTGGTCCATCAAGTGTAATGTGCTGCAGCTGTAGACAATATTCTTTAGCAGATTGTAACAGATTTAGTTAGCTTGTAACAACTTTAGTTAGTTAATTAGTTAGATGATGTGTAGTTAGTTAGAGGTGTGGTTAGGTTAATTAGTTTGTTAACTGTACTGGTGTATAAATATGATTTGTAATCTCTCATTATATTTTAAGGAAGATATTTTAGATTTTACTTTACCTTTCATCATGGTATTAGAGCACCAAGAAGCTCTCGCGAGCAATTCTCAAGATTCATCAATGGAGTCTTCTGCTATTCCTTCAAATCTCAATCTACTGCTATCGAATCTCTGTTCTCTTGTAACAGTGAAGCTGGATGGCTCAAATTTTGTTATTTGGAAGAATCAAATGCAGAATCTGCTTCGAGCAACAGATCTACTCGCCATTGTTGATGGCTCAAAGAAGTGTCCTGTTGACACAGTGCGACAGTCTGCAGGAATGGAGATCCAAAATCCAGAAGCTATTAAATGGAAGATGATTGATGCACATCTACTCAACTACATCACTGCTACTCTCTCTCCTGCGATTTTCACTTCTGTGTTACATCTTCACACCAGTGCTCAAGTCTGGCAATTTCTTGATAAACGCTTTACCTCTCATATCCACCAGTTAAAGAACAAATTGAGTTCTATTTCAAAGGAATCAGATTCAATGGAAGTGTATTTGATCAAAATCAAAAGTATTGTTGATCAGTTGAGTATTGCTTCGTCATTTGTGGAAGATGAGGATATTGTTCTTCTTACATTGAATGGATTGCCTTCTGAATATGATGCAGTTAAAGTGGCTATTCAATATTAAACACAAAACTGATAAGGAAGAGGTCCAAGAGGTTCATTGAGTGTAATGTGCTGGTGCTGGTCCATCAAGTGTAGTGTGTTGTAGCTGTAGACAATGGTGCTGGTCCATCAAGTGTAGTGTGCTGCACAGATTGTAACAGATTTAGTTAGCTTGTAACAACTTTAGTTAGTTAGAGGTGTGGTTAGGTTAATTAGTTTGTTAACTGTACTGGTGTATAAATATGATTTGTAATCTCTCATTATATTTTAAGGAAGATCTTTTAGACTTTACTTTACCTTTCATCATGGTATCAGAGCACGAAGAAGCTCTCGCGAGCACTTCTCAAGATTCATCAATGGAGTCTTCTGCTATTCCTTCAAATCTCAATCTACTGCTATCGAATCTCAGTTCTCTTGTAACAGTGAAGCTGGATGGCTCAAATTTTGTTATTTGGAAGAATCAAATGCAGAATTTGCTTCGAGCAACGGATCTACTCGCCATTGTTGATGGCTCAAAGAAGTGTCCTGTTGACACAGTGCGACAGTCTGCAGGAATGGAGATTCAAAATCTAGAAGCTATTAAATGGAAGATGATTGATGCACATCTACTCAGCTGCATCACTACTACTCTCTCTCCTGCGATTTTCACTTCTGTGTTACATCTTCACACCAGTGCTCAAGTCTGGCAATTTCTTGATAAACGCTTTACCTCTCTCTCTAGGTCTCATATCCACCCGTTAAAAAACAAATTGAGTTCTATTTCAAAGGAATCAGATTCAATGGAAGTGTATTTGATCAAAATCAAAAGTATTGTTGATCAGTTGAGTATTGCTTCGTCATTTGTGGAAGATGAGGATATTGTTCTTCTTACATTGAATGGATTGCCTTCTGAATATGATGCAGTTAAAGTGGCTATTCGAACTCATGCAGAGTCCATTTCTATGGAGGATCTTTCTGCTCTACTCTGTTCAAAAGCTATTCACATTGAAGGAAAATTAAAACAAAATTCTGATTTAACTGTTGCTTATGCAACTGTAAAAGATTCACATGCTTCTAATACTTCTAGAGGATTTAATTCTTATCATCATAACAGAGGTTATTCTCGTGGTGATTCTAGAGGTTCTCATAGAGGCACTCGATTCTATTCAGGAAGATCCTCTCGTGACAGATCTCAAGGAAGAGGACAATTTGGCATTGTTTGCCAAATCTGTGGCAAAGCCAATCACATAGCTCTTGACTGTTGGCATATGCTAGATACTCAATTTCAGTCTTCACAAGTGTCTCTATCCCAGCAATCAAAGACATATCAGTCTCACTCTCAGCTATATCAGTCTCAAAGGCATATGTTACCTCTTTAACTGAGGACAATGGTTCTTGTTCTCCTTGGTTTTTGGACTCAGCTACTTCTGATCATATCACTAATAATCTTCATCAACTTAACTCCATTCAACCCTACACTGCTGGTGATCAAGTCACTGTTGGTAATGGCTCTTCCCTTCCTATCACTCACACAAGCCAAAGGATACTACCTACTCCTCACCATTCTTTCAAACTAAACAAAGTTTTGCATGTTCCTTCTATTAACTCTAATCTTGTCTCTATGCATCACTTGGCTAAAGATAATAACTGTTCTATCACATTTGATCATTCTTCTTTTACTATTCAGGACAAGCTTTCCAAGGCCATACTCCATAAAGGTTTTTATGCCAATGGACTATATCAATTCCATACTCTAACCACTGCTTCCTCACATGCCTACAGTAGTTCAGTTATATCTACTGATTCCACTGACATTTGGCATCAGAGATTAGGCCATCCTTCTACTCTTAAGTTTCATTTGATTAAACACAAATTACCTCTGTCAGTAGCTTCCAATAAAAGCACATTTTCTTGTGTAGATTGCTCCGTAGCCAAATGCCATAGGCTACCTTTTACACTGTCTAATTCCACTGTAAATAATCCACTGCCTTTGATTTACAATGATGTATGGGGTCCCTTTAATAAATCTACTTCTCCTTACAAATACTATGTGTTGTTCATTGATGATTTTACCAGATTCACTTGGCTTTATCATCTTGTTTATAAAAGTGAAGTGTGTGCCAAATATATGGAATTCAAAGCTTTTATGGAAAAACAGTTTGATTTTCCTCTTAAAATTCTTTGTAGTGATGGAGGTGGTGAATACAAGAATTATCCTCTTCAACATTATCTTCACACTTATGGCATTCACCATCAATTTTCCTGTCCACATACTCCCTCTCAAAATGGAGTGGCTGAGAGAAAGCACTTACATCTCACTGAAACTACTATTTCTCTTCTTCATCAGTCCTCTATGCCTCTTCTTTATTGGTTTGATGCCATAGCAGCTGCCACATATTTGATCAATCGTTTACCTAGTGTTTCTCTTAATAATTGCTCTTCGTTTGAGTTGCTGTATCATACTTCTCCTGATTACTCTCTACTAGAAGTCTTTGGTTGTCTTTGCTTCCCCTGGCTTAAACCATATGCTTCTCATAAGTTGGCTCCTAAGTCGACTCCTTGTGTTTTTCTAGGATATCATCCTAGTGTTAAGGGCTATAGATGTTTAGATCCTCAGACTTGTCACATTCATTTATCTAGACATGTTACTTTTCATGAACATGAATTTCCTTTTTCCTCTTCTACTTTTGTTTCTTCTGTTTCTTCTCTTCCTTTTTTACAGGATTTCTTTTGGTTACCATCTCCTCAGCATAGTTATTCTCAGTCTGCTTTGGCTCAACAGTCTAGTGTCCAGACTACATCTGCACAGCCACAGTCCTCTTCATAGCCACAGTCTACATCTGCCCAGATACAGTCCTCTTCACAGCCAGAGTCTACATCTGCACAGCCACAGTCCTCTTCATAGCCCCAGTCTTTTGATCTGGCACCACCTGCCCAGTTTGCACAGCCTAGCCCTGCCCAGCCTTCCTCTATCTTGTCTTCTTCTGATCCTTCACCAACTGCACTTTCTTCCCATCCATCCATTCCTATTAATTTTATTTCTGTTGTTTTACCTCTTCCT